ACCTGAGATAGACCAGAGAGAGACCAGAGAGAGAGCGAACAGAGAGAGAGACCAGAGAGAGAGACAGACCAGAGAGAGAGTAGAGAGCGAGAGACCTGAGAGTGACAAGAGAGAACAGAAAGAGAGACCAGAGGGAGAAACCAGAGAGACACCAGAGAGAGAGACTAGAGAGAGAGAGAGAGAGACCAATAATCTATCCTAATTGCTCACCAGCACACGGATTTGCCCTCACACCCCTGGTTTATTTCTTGTTCTTCTCTCCTCTCCACAGAAAGCAGTGTTGATGGTCTGTTTTCAAAGCCGCGCTCACCTGTTAGCGTCTCGTTAGCCGTCTCCGTTTGTTTGTGCTCAGAATGTGGATTTGCCGTTTGTTTGTCGGCCCCTCGAGAAATCAGGAGAACGAGAGGCTTTTATCTCCCAAGTTTAAACGAGTGGAAAGAACTTTAAAACCTCCGAGACTTTACTTTCTGGATGAACTTACATTTATCGAGTCGCACGATCAGGTCTGTCTCTTCTCTGGCTACTCCACAAAAACAACAGTAATGATTATTTTAACTGGATCCAAAGTTCCACAACTGCAGTAAACAAGTAAACAGAGTCAGAGTAGGAGATATAGAAACGTTTCCTCAGGACAACAGTGGGAAGGGCTGGTGTGTTGTTTAGACCCGTGTCTGCTTTTCACCACAGAGCAAGAACAGGTGTAAATTAAAGGGTGGAAACAAACTTCCCACTTTCAAAATGTCTTCTAAAGTCATGGCATAGTGTACTCTGGACCAGAGAGAGGCCAGAGAGAGAGACCAGACAGAGAGAGCTGAGAGACCTGAGAGAGATCTGAGAGAGACCAGAGAGAGACTAGAGAGGGGCCGGAGTGAGAAAAGAGAAAGGGACCAGAGGGACACCAGAGAGAGAGCCCACACAGAGACTATAGAGAGACCAGAGAGCAGAGGGAGATTAAAGTACACTATAGACACCAGAGAGACCCCAGTGAGAGACCAGAGAGACCCCAGTGAGAGACCAGAGTGAGAGACCATGAGAGAGACCAGCAAGAGAGATTCTGTGTGTGTTTTATTTGAGGCTTTTTCCCTGAATAAGTTTAGTTGAAACTTGTGACATAGTAGTTGGACCGGGTCGGGTCGGGGCAGATTCTGTCTTGTTCTCATTATTGTCAGTATGGAGAAAGTAACGTATTGTTCACGTGTGAGTCTGTTGTGTACAAACTACACACTGTGCCTCTTGTCGTGTTCCATATACAACACTGCCTTGTGCTGGGCCCCGGGCAGCACAGAGCGGGACAGGAGCAGACTGAACAAGCTGGTCAGGAGGGCCAGCTCCACTCTGGGCTGCTCCCTGGACTCTGTGGAGGAGGTGAGGGACAGGAGGCCCCTGGACTCTGTGGAGGAGGTGAGGGACAGGAGGCCCCTGGACTCTGTGGAGGAGGTGAGGGACAGGAGGCCCCTGGTCTCTGTAGAGGAGGTGAGGGACAGGAGGCCCCTGGACTCTGTGGAGGAGGTGAGGGACAGGAGGCCCCTGGACTCTGTGGAGGAGGTGAGGGACAGGAGGCCCCTGGTCTCTGTGGAGGAGGTGAGGGACAGGAGGCCCCTGGACTCTGTGGAGGAGGTGAGGGACAGGAGGCCCCTGGACTCTGTGGAGGAGGTGAGGGACAGGAGGTGCTAGCCAAAGCCACCTCCATCATGAACAATACCTCCCACTGCACAGGACTGTAGAGGAGCTGAGGAGCTCCTTCAGTGGAAGACTGAGACACCCTCAGTGTAAGAAGGAGCGCTACCGCAGGCCTTTATCCCCACCGACTGTACAAGTCACTTTAAGTCACTGCATTAAGACTGAAAAAAATTATTAACTATTGACACTGTTTCTGATTGCCACTCTTTAAATTGAAACTTGACACTTGTATTGTACATAATATATCCTGCATTTAACATGTTTGCACATTTCTTTCTTTTTGCACAATCTTGAGTGTTCTATCCATGCCGATGGTGGTTTGCGATGTTGACACTGGACTTCTGCATAATTATTTTTCTTAAAGATTGTTGTTTGGATTGTTCTTTTATATAACTGTGGTCCTCCATGGTTCTTTTATATAACTGTGGTCCTCCATGGTTCTTTTATATAACTGTGGTCCTCCATGGTTCTTTTATATAACTGTGGTCCTCCATGGTTCTTTTACATAACTGTGGTCCCCCATGGTTCTTTTACATAACTGTGGTCCTCCATGGTTCTTTTATATAACTGTGGTCCTCCATGGTTCCTTCTTCAAACTTCTGAAGACACAGTGAAAGCAACGACATCAGTCGCTCATGTGAAACTAAAACACGATTTTCGCATCCTTTTTGTCCCTTATCCACCACCGTTTTTTAAGATGGCGCATTTACACAGAGAGCACTCCTCTCTCATGGACACTTATAAGTTAAATTCTAAGCTTATTAATACAATTCAAAAAACATGGTGGAGGTAAATATTCTTAAAAAGGTCACATTTGTTATTAGTTAACATGTTTTTGCTTATGGAGCAGCAGCTGTAACAATTACACAAGGTGGTATTGGAAAAGAGCGTGGTTTGTTAATGCCTTTTGACAGATTAGGGACATTTAATGATGACTTAACATGAAAGTTTTATATATTGCTACTTTAACTGTCCAAAATTCATAAAACTGATGTATGGGTGTCAAATACTGTCGTTATAAAACAGGAGTGTATCCTTAAACTAACTCTCCTCCCCCTCCTTCAGTCGATCCTCCTCTCCAGACGGTGGAACTGGGCTGATTCGTTCCTTCTCTATTTGGACTAATATTTCTGTTATATGATTAGCTGCTCTGTCTGTGCCCCATCACTTTCTGGCATTAGTCAAAAACCCAAAGTAAAACACGGAGTAATGTGAGAGAACTGGCAGCACTTTAAAGAGAGAGAGCCGAGAACAGAAGCTGAGGCGGAGCCAAAACCAGCACCGTCTGCAGGCAACGAGAACCCAGACCAGAAGAAGATTTACTCTGGTTTTTATGCAATACAACGGTTTAGACATAACATGTTTCAGTGTGCTCCGCCTCGGTCCGCCTCGGTCTTCCCGCACACATGTGGCTCATTAGTACGTTTTCGATCCCAGCAGTGACCAAAAGTTATGTAAGGAAACAAACTGGTTCCCCCCATACCGCTCTGAGCTCTGCCCCTTTCTGTCATGTTGGTGAAATGAAATGAGCCCATAAGCACAGAACTGCAAATGTAATAGATTTAATAATAAAAGCAAATACAAAGTCAAAATCCAGAGTAAACAACAAAAGGTAACCAAACTCGGGTCGAGGACAAGAACTAAAACAGACGTGGGATGACAATGACGGAACAGGAAGTGAAGGACAACACAGGGTTTAATATACACAAGACTAATGAGACACATGAGGGCGGGGCAGGTAATCAGGAAACAGGAAGTAGAACTAAAGATACAGGGGTAGCAAATATTCAATGAATCAATCACATTTTATTTATAGAGCCCTTTACAACAGTCAAGGCGACCGAAGTGCTTTACAATAAAATCACATAACATTAGGCCCGGGCGGTATGGCTGAAAACTATATCACAATGTAAGTGATTCATAACGGTTGATATCAACAATTATCAATATATATACATGTATATATTTTTTAACCTTGATAAATACATTTGTCGTGTCGCTGCTAACACATATTAGCAGCACATATTTAGTCACAGGGGAATGAGAACTCAGGCTGGAGGCAAATGTTCACAAGCACAGTGTCCCCATTGACAGTCCAGGTTTAATCCTGGTTTAGTCCTGGTTTAGCTCCTGTTTTGTCCGTGTTTTCAGTGTCTCTCGCTGCGTGCTTGTGTCCCCATGACCACTTTGCGGCTATCTGATAGCTGCACGTGCTTCCGGAGGAAAAACTTAATCTCTTGCTTTTGCTGCATGCATTGAGAAGCCTCAGCCTACGTCCCCCAGAATACTGCGCTTATGACTCTGCTTTACATCCTGTTGTATGTCCTATTTTTTCTGATGAAGTGAAGTTCAGACTACCAAACATTTTATTGACCCCATTTTCTATTGAAATCGAACTTGTGTCGTTAGCGTTTCATCACCCAGCACTACATAAAATGCATTAAAACATTCATACAATCAAACAATTAAACAGGTAAAAAGCTTTTTTTTTTTAAAGTGCCACCACTGTGTTAAAAGTGTTAAAAGTCAGTCTGAATAAACTAGTTTTGAGCCTGGATTTAAAAAGGCCAGAGTCAGTAAGGACAGGAATGTCTGGGGGCAGCACACAGTCTGGGTCCAGGACTGAGAAGGACCGACCTCAGTGTTTGGACCTGGTCTTAGGATCCTCCAGGACGAGCTGAGTGGATGACCTCAATGATCTGCCTGAGTCAAGAGCAGTTAAGAGCTTGGACAAGTACAGAGGGGCGAGACCATTGAGGGCTTTAACAAAAACCTTCACTGGCTTCAGCCCCAACGTAGACGTCACCTTCACTGGAGGCACTTATTATCCAATTTTTTTTATTTTAGTTGTCTGCAGTATTTAAAGCCGTTTTTTGTCCCTGTCGCTACGCCTTTTTCACTCCGAAGCTCTGACTGTCTGACCTTTTCTGTTCCAAGAGTTTTTAAAGAAGTTGGACGCAGATCGTTTCAATATAAGGCTCCATCAGACTGGAATAAACTCCCCACAGCCACATAATCCATTCTGTCTTTTGGTTTACTTAAGTTTCGATTATTTTGGTTACTTAAAACTCCTTGTTTATGTCACTAACGTTCTGTATTCTGTAAGTATTTCTCTTTCACTGTAAATCAGGGAATTGGATTGATTGCAAGTTCTCTTAATCTTAAAGTGTATTTTGTCTCTGCTGTTTGTCAAGATTTCAAGATTCGAGAATGTATTTGCCATTTGCAGTAAAACCACATTGGAGAAACTGTGCAAGACTACCCCAGCCCCACATGGAGTTCTGCTGATGACCTCTGACCCCTGTGTGTCCCTCTTGCAGGTGGCCATCGCTCAGTTCAGCGACGACGCCCGGACAGAGTTCCAGCTCAGTTCCCATAGCAACAAGGAAGCTCTGCTGGAGGCCATTCAGAAGATACGATACAAGGGCGGGAACACCAAGACCGGTCAGAACATTTCTCACATGTTTGTAGCCTGAGAAATAAATGTATTAATATATTATTATTTATTTAGAATGTGTAGGAACGATTCTGCCTTTGGATTCATTCACAGAAGTTGATATTGTCTTTCTACTTCAAGATATGGTCAATATTAAAGCTGGAGCATGTAACTTTGAAACCCCAAAAATTTAACTACGTCATAAAAATCTATGCAACCGGTTCCTAAAAACAGTTCGGTTCTATCAGAGTTTTCACATTTAAATGTAAAATCACATGTATGTTTGGTCGCTTTTTCAGACAGAAAAGAGACAAAGAGAGGACCACCCTCACTCAGCCAATCAGTTCTCAGAATATGAAAGATACCATGTTTTCTAAAAAGATAGTGATTTGATTTGTATGTTCTGGACAAAATGTTACTTATGAGTATGGTTGCGAAGGGGTAGAACATTTCGAGTAAATTTCCATGTGAAGTTAAGCTAAATATTCAATAACTGTGAATTAATTGTAATGTAATTGATTTGTATCATATTCAAACCCAAATATACACAGAAGTCATATAAAACCAAATGGGTATTCAAGTGTTTAAACTGCATCTTTTTAAGTAAATACTGTATACTTTCCACAACAATATTGAAGTTCTCTAAAAAGAGCCATGTCATTTTGGAAAATTCCCAGTTCATTCCCATATTTTCCTGTTAATTAATCTTTGAGATGAAACCAAATTTGTTTAGGAAACCCAATAAAGTTAGGTATTTGAGCTCTGAACTGCGCTCTCCCAGATCGGCTTCAGCAGAGAAACAGAAAGCTTGTCATTGTTGTTCCTCTATCGTCAGTGAATGCTTGATCTGTAACTAAGAAAATATTGTTTCTCAATTAATCGATTCATTGTTTAGAGTTTTCTTTCATATTCAGTTTATTTGCCATTTGTGCTGAAACCACATTAGAACACACGAGCTAAAGTCCTCAGTGTGCTCCAGACATTCTTTTCATTTAAACCACATCTCTGAGCATTTTCATGTTTTGTATAAAGAGCAGTAAACTTGCACTGAAATGGTTTTCAAAATGGTTGAACCAAAATTGTGACAGAGTTCAAACTTACGTGCATGTGTAGCATGTATGTGCTGAATAATAAGGTTGTAGTTAGGATAGATCTCTGGTGCGACTCACGGAGAGAGACAGAGGCTGGAGGTTTGCTTTTAGTTAGTTTGTATTTACATTTGTGTATGGACAAGACAGACGTAACACTTAGGGACACTGCCCTTCTTTTTATTTTTGAAGTGAAGAAATTTAGTTTTTTTTGTTTACATACTGAGAGCTGAAAAAGCTGATCTGAAGATGTGACAGAGGCCAAACATACATGTGATTTTACATATAAATAGTGAAAACTAAACCAAACTATATATATATATTTTTTATCTTAATTTGAGAATTTATTTTTATTTTTTATTTTTTTATTGAATCACCCAGTGATAGGGGAGTACATACTGTATACAGTAGTTACATCCAAGGAAAACATACAGTAGTTATATATAAAGAAAACATATACAGTAAATACATACAAAGAAAATAGATTATACAAACTCCTGTATGGTAGCATTGTGGGGAGGAGGGGGGGGGGGTTCAGAGTTGCACAAGAGTGGTGTGTGTGTGTGTGTGTGCGTGTGCGTGTTTGAGTGTGTGAGATATGGTAAAAAAAAATAAAAATAAACAAAATACAATAACAATTTAACAAACAATTTAACGCCGATACCATCACCCAAAAAGGTTCTAAACAATCCTGGGGGGGATCTGATATACATATCGGGTGTGGTGTAGAGGGTAGGATGTGTAGTGTCATGACTGATGCATTAAAAATCAAGCAGGGGTGGCACCAAAGAGAGTTCCCTCTGGCAACCCTGGTGACCCTAATCTGTGTTCGTGAGGAGTTTGCGTTATATGTATATACATGTTTGAGGTTGTTTGAAACCAAACTATTTTGAGGATTTGGTTGCCTGGATTGTGTTACATAGTCTGTAACACAGTGGTTTCAAACCGTAAAGGATTAGGTCTTTCTCATTGTAATGCTGAGAAGTAGCTCTCTGGAGGTAAAATGTTGGAGAATCCTTTCCTGCACTGCAAAAAGTGATTCAAAATGAGTCAAAAAAATGCAAAAATTTTGTCCAAATGTATCTTAATTTGAGCACATTCTGTCTGAGCCTTAAAACAAGATTTGCCGATGGGACAAAGCAAAATGATCTTGTTTTAAAAAGATACAAGAAATGTCTCCCTTGGAATGAGAAAATAAAGCCACAGTTCTTGAAATAAGGCTAAATAACTTTTTCTCATTGGCAAATCTCAGTCAGGCTTCAGTCAGATGCGCAGCCTAAAGCCCGATTTAAGTGAGCCAGAGCCCACTTCGTGATTAGATCCGAGCTTTAGGTGCTATGTGTCCGCGACAAGTGGGCTCAGGCACATTTGAAGACTTTGTAAAGCCCAGATGAGGGGGGTCAGTGTGGCGAGTGGTGGGTAGTGGGGGATGAGGTGTGGTGGGGACTTGATATTGTGCGTCACATTACGTCTTCCGTTGTGACGGTATTTTCACACACTCTCCCTGCACTTTCGTATTCTCCGCTTGTGTCAAACCTTTCATATAACCCAAAGAAAAGCGTTTCCTACGGGAATAACTCCCTCTGTTCTGACCCTCGCTCTCACAGTGATTGCAAAACTACTTCAGACATTCAAGAATCAGTCTTTATTTCATCGCCAGAACACACACACACACACACCAACACACACACCAACACACACACCAACACACACACACACACCAACACACACTGTCTGCGGTCGCTCTGCTCATACGCCAAACTTTTCATTCTTTCATTCTCATTCATTCATTTCTCAGCGCTCTTTTGTTTTATTTTTTTTTGTCTTGTTGATCTGTACCTTGAGTCTGCTAATAAAGTCATCATCATCATCATCATCTTACGCTCGTTACTAAAGAGTGTGTGTGTGTGTGCACTCGTGTCCGCGGCGCGCGCACACACACACGCGTGCACACACATGTTACCCACATTCTCTGCTGCACTTTGCATCAGAGAATGTGGACAAGTGTGAGATGTGTCTTTCCCTAAACAACGCAATGCGTACTGAGCTGTTAGCTACTGTAGCTGTAGCTGTTAGCTGTTAGCTGTTAGCTACAGTAGCAGAGCGTAAACAGGAAGAGAAACGGAAACTTAACTCGGACAACGAGGTAGTCGCTGGAGTTAGGATTAGCGCCACCAGCTGGACCGAGTGTTGTACGGCAGCACAGTTGCTCTGGCCCGTTTGTAAATTCACGTTTATGTGACCGCTGGCCGTTTTCACACCGCTGTGGCGACGATCCGGGCCACTTGGCCTATTTTGTTTGTAAAAACCTCATACTTTTATCACTTTTAGCAGAGTGAATCAATATCATAACACTACAGTCTTCTTCTCCCAGTTCAGCTTCAGTGGGAGAATATCGCGTCGTCGTTAATTCAAGCTTTAGGGTTTAGTGTTTTGAATCTCACACCTGTCTCTTTTGTCTGAGCTCTCGCGGTCCACAGAAAACTGCTTTTCTTTTCACAGCCTTAAGCACAATGCCTCCGAGTCTCCTGTGACGTCTTTTGTGATTAAATCGGTTGGTGTTTATGATGGCAGCTGTGTGCGGCGCAGGGAAAAATGAATAACTACTGAGGGAAGGATGATACAGGAGGCCTCTCAGCTCAGTGGAGACTCTACACCAGAGACCTTTTTAATGGCACAGACCGGTTTAACGTTAGACAATAACATTAGACTCAAACGCACGTGTGTAGCTCCGCAGGTTTGTTTGTAGATAAACTGTTTTTTCCATCAGCGATTGGCCTCACTCTGCCCCGGCTGTGTCTGCTCATGTCCTGGGCCACTGTCTCCTGGCTCCTCTGGTCATTGTGGTTTCAGCTTAAACCCATTCTCTCTCTGATCTTGTCTTTTCTTAAAGTGCCACACAAGGGCCTCATTCTTCCACGTGTCCTTCTCTTCATACAGCGTTTTAAATACTTTATCAAGAGCCTCTGCACAAGATATAAGGAGATAATCCGGTCATTTTTTAAACATAAAAGAAATTATGTATTCTTTCTTTGGCGGCCCGATTCAAATGCCCCACAGCCTGGTAGCAGTGTTCCCTGACCAGTCTTCCAGCTGGAGCATCCACAGGGAGAACATGCAGACTGGAGGTGGATTCTTACCCAGAACCTTTTGCTGTGAAGCATAAGCGCTAACCACTCTGCCACCCTGCCGTCCAGCTCTATTTTAAATGTTGCTCTCGAACTGCTTCCATCACGGCGTCTGTCTGAATCAGAGCTGTTCTCAAACACAGCTGCTGTCATTCTGACTGCTCAGACTCAGACAGACCCCCATCGTTTTCATGCTTTTTATTAGAAACCGTTCCCCATTATGTGATGTCACACAGCGGGCCGCACCGCCACCAGGTCGAGCCGACACTTTGAGCACAATCTATAACATTTTGTCTTCAGACTTTTCACACGTCAGACCAGCAGCGAAATGTTTTTAACGCTTTTCACTGTGGGTTGGTGTTTACACGGAGACGGTGTGACAGTAAAACATTAGAGTTGGAGTTCGGTTTGGCATTTTGTTTACATGAAGACGGTGTTTCAGGTGAAATTGAAAGTGTTGAGAAACAGCCTCCAGAGTGGAACAGAACAGATTCACTGCTCAGCGGGGACAGCGTGAAGAAAAATATGTGAATTCTCTGCTGCAATGACCTCAGCACTTCCCCCACATACACTTGGACATGTGCAGTAGCCGAGAACACACAGACAACAATGGCAGCGGGTTCACTAAATAGCTACATGTGCTTTGAGCGCTACACAGAGGAGAATTCTACTCCTTTGTTCGTCCAAACAAAACCACGTGAAGCTGTTCAGTTTCCATTTTGCTGCTTCTGTTAAAAGCAGATGATGTTGGTTTTTTCACGTCTTTACGGCGGCCAGAGGAGGATGATGTTTAAGAAGTGGTTCTACTGCTGGGGGTCGCATTTCATTGTTTGTTGTTGTTGTGTAGACGCTGTGAACTTCGAATACGGAGCCTGGTTTTTGCTAATTGCTTTGCAGCGTCTCTGCAGCATCTGCGTCTAAACGGGGCCTAAGAGTTTGAGACCAGGGCTGGGTGTCAGTCATAGTCTACCCATGTGTATCTCAATAATCATGTTTCAATGTGGGGCTATATCATTCAATGATGTGATTCAGAAAGGGCTTTTGGGCCCTTATCTTATAATGCATCGGTTTTATATAGTGCTATTCTGGACACTCAGATGCTTCACATGTCATTATTCTTTCACTCCAAACACAGTGTGGATAAACTACTACTGTAGCCACAGCTGCCCTGGGGCACACTGACAGAATCGTGGCAACTAGTACATGCCGTCGACCCCTCCGACTTGGTGGAAAGGAGGAGGACTCGAAATGAAGGAATGCAAAATAATGATTTATTTAAAAAAAAAAAAAAATCCAAGGTAAAAACAACCTCAAAATTCAAATAAAACTCTGGAACAAAGACAGAGACAATACAGCAGACCAGCAACCAGGGGAGAGGAGCACAGGTACACATCAGGGCGGGGCAAACCATCAACAGGGGAAACTGAAATGAAACCACAGAGAACTCTTTTCAAAATAAAACTAAATACAGAAATAAAATCCTCACCATGACACCACCATCCATTCACCCACACACCAGACTCATTCTAATGCAGGTGAAGTGCCTTGCCTAAGGACAGTGACAATTTGGCACTTTCCAGCCGCAGCAGTAATCTCCTCCTTCCCCTGGTGGCCACATAGGGACTTACAGGTCATTAGCATTATTTACCGTTCATTCTTGTTTCATCGTATTTTCTCATTAACAATTAATGTGATATCTGACCGGCATATTTTGTACTTTGGACTCCAGTTATATTATTGCTATTATTGTCTTTTACTGCTAAAAAATATTATCTGAAGAACTGAACGCATTTGTTTTGACCACATTGTTACCACCGTATCTATATCTCAAGCATAAGCAAATCTCTCTAGATGGCACATTGGCACAAATCACATATAAAACGCCCTGTCTACTTTTAGAAAGGTGCAATCGACAAGCTTTTTTTTTGTATTGGTCATATATGATGTGCTATATTTATTATTTAAAACAAAAAATGCTAATAGCACAAATAACTCACTTTGAATGAGAAGAAAATGGCTACTTTTGTTGAAATTAGACATATTTGTTTGTCCCAAAAAGTATTAAAATCAAAATTTGTTTTAAAGTTGATTCAAACATTTTCTCTCATACATTTGATTATATTTAATTTTTTGCAGTGTATTATAATGGGTCACACTTTAGATTAGCCCTCACTAATCAACAGTTAAGCAAGTTCTAATTAGCGTATAGTTGATGGTTAATTAGTTGTTAATTGGTGTTTATTAAGCACTTATGAGTCCTTATTTGACATCTATAACTACTCACTAACACTTTCCCATGTGGGTTAAGGTTAAGGTTAGGCTCCGCTAATTAGCACTGAATTAGCGAGGGCTACTCTAAAGTGTTGAATTATAATGAATTGATGTTAATTTAAAAAATGTGTGCGTGTCGGGGTTAATATGAACCAGTGTGCGTCTGTAGTCTGCCTCTGCTCTCCTCGTCATCGTCCATCGGTCATGGAGCAGATTAATTTGTGGTTTTAACGCTCGCACCGACGCCTTAGGATCCTCTCGTTATTTATGCATTTATTCATTAAGACATTAGAACCTTTGACCCTGGTGAGGAGTGATTGATTTGTGCGTCTGAATGTGTGCGCGCTGAGATGTTGGAGATCCTCTCTGCTTTCTCTGAGGTTCCAGACGGACGACTTTTTGAAGAATAGATTTTGTGTTTTGTCCAGTTCTGCGGCAGGCGGATCATTGGGAGTGTCAGGCTTGGCTGGAGTTGTGTAATTTAGTACAGCTTCTGGACATCTCACTAGGTTTGTTTTTTAACCCTTCGACGCTCTCTATACAGCGACTTGGCTTCCCACAAATGTCTGTTACATCATTATCTTCTATGTATTTCTGTTATTGATTGAAGTAGTCCACTATTTCTTAATAAGTTGAAGGGTGTCAAAAAACGCTGGCGCCTAAAAGGGAACATTTATTTTAAGAAATGATTCTCACTGGAAACTTTGGTTCATTATTACCGGAATTTCCACGCTATAAACTGCTACTTTTTCTATTTCTTTGGACCCTGTGGCAATGTAGGCAACTCTCGCCAGACCCTTGTAGTTCCGCCGTGCTCCACCAGAGGCGTTTTGCTGTGAAGCGCAGCGAACTAGAAGGGTCTGGCGAGAGTCAGGCTAGCGGCAATGCAGCTAATATGTGAATTTTTATTTATGTCGTAATTATAACAGAGCAAAGTTTATGCACTTATTATTTTGACTCCATCAAGTTTCTAGTAGCCATTAGTAGTTTATTGTCAAAACTAGGGCAACGCATTTAACGCATGTGCCGAATGACCCGCCTATATGCATCCAATAATAACACTCTCCCCTACGCTCTCCTCCCACGGAGCCATGTAGTTTTAGTAGTGATCTGACAGGAAAACATTAGCATTAGCACAACTTCTTGTAAGCTGTACAGCAATCACTGATGAAATAGTACAAAAGCAACGCACTGCTAACAAAATAAACAGTACAATAACTGAAAGATTACCGCCAGTTTCGTGTCCAAATGTACTCCGAGCAGAGCGTAGTCCGAGCAGAGCGTAGTCCGAGCAGAGCGTAGTCCGAGCAGAGCGTAGTCCAAGCAGAGCGTAGTCCGAGCAGATAGTCCGAGCAGATAGTCCGAGCAGATAGTCCGAGCAGATAGTCCGAGCAGAGCGTAGTCCGAGCAGATAGTCCGAGGAGAGCGTAGTCGAGAATGAACGCGGTCTTTTGAACTCGTTCACGCACAACACTGGCATTAGCACAACTTCTTGTAAGCTGTACAGCAATCACTGATGAAATAGTACAAAAGCAACGCACTGCTAACAAAATAAACAGTACAATAACTGAAAGATTACCGCCAGTTTCGTGTCCAAATGTAGTCCGAGCAGAGCGTAGTCCGAGCAGAGCGTAGTCCGAGCAGATAGTCCGAGCAGATAGTCCGAGCAGATAGTCCGAGCAGATAGTCCGAGCAGAGCGTCGTCCGAGCAGAGCGTAGTCCGAGGCGGTCCATTTCCCGCACGTCTCTCCGGAGGATATGATGTAAGCTAGCTATGTTAACCCTGGCTTGATTTCTTTTTTGATAATTTTTTTGCTTTAGTTCCCTCTTCTTCTCCTCACTTTAGCGTCTTTTGGGCTGTTTTGCTGTGTCTGCGGTTACAGCCAGACGAGGTATAGCCACTTTCTGCTAACATGCTGCGGTTGTTTACATGCGCTGCAGACGCTAGACGGGACGTGGCCTGTTTGCAACTAGCGTCACGCAAAGTTCCTACTCAGCACTTTTTATCTCCTGTATTCATACACATGCTGAATCAATGAGCTATTTTTTCCAATTAAATTATGGGTTTTAATACAACTTTGAAAAAAAGACTGTCTACCTCAGAAAGACAGAATGTGAATAATGTTGATGCCATTTAATGTAGATTTATTGTTGTTATATATTGTAAATCATATCATATATATATTTTATACATAATGTGCCCCGTTCAACTTCATGTGTAGTTTTAGAACCTTCTGGAAAAACAAATTTCAGCATTTCTCTAATTGACTGTGTTTTTGCTCAGTGGAAATGAGGCGATAGATTACCACCATTACAGCAGAGAACAGTAAATACCTCTGCAGCTCATTGACCTCTTGGCTTTTCCTCCTCCCACTCAGCATGTGTCCGCTCCATCCTCCAGACTCCCACTCAACAACTAAAGACCACTCATACTGTACGTCTAAAGCAGAGGGCCTTCATCATGACCTTTTTCTATGTCTCTGAAACTACAACAACAAAAGGTTGCCGGGGAACATCATATGAGTGCTTTACTGACTGTCTTGGTCTGTGCGATTTTCAAAGAGTATGGGGATAATGTTACAAAAGGAGCAGTGAACAAAGCTGTACATTTATAGCCTGGTATTGAAAAAGAACAGAGCTGCTGATGATAAATGCAGCGTTAAAACTGCTCTACACCGAGAGGGACGCATCTTTGGTAAAGTTGGAACTCTTTACTTTTTCTTAAGGCTGGGGATTGGCCAAAATGTGACAATTCGATAGCGTTGCGATAATTATAATTCAATATCATTGGGATTCTTAACATGTTGCAAAACTATTTACTTTGTCATTTCATGTTTTAGAATGTGAAATACTTTGTTCAGCAGAAAAACTATATTATGAAACTAGTATGGAGGGTAAAAAGGCTTTCCACCTTTAGTTGTTCCTTTTCCAAAGTCGACCTGTATGAGGAGAACAGTTTTGTTTCGATCCTCAGCTGTTTGGAATCAGCTATCTATGACATCTAAGGAAACTGATAATAGATATACAGTACAGACCAAAAGTTTGGACACACCTTCTCATTCAAAGAGTTTTTTTATCTTCATGACTATGAAAATTGTAGATTCACACTGAAGGCATCAAAACTATGAATTAACTCATGTGGAATTATGTACGTACTTTACAAAAAAGTATGAAACAACTGAAAATATTATATTCTAGGTTCTTCAAAGTAGCACCTTTTGCTCTGATTACTGCTTCACACACTCTTGCCATTCTCTTGATGAGCTTCAAGAGGTAGTGACCTGAGATGGTCTTCCAACAGTCTTGAAGGAGTTCCCATGATGCTTAGCACTTATTGGCCCATTCGCCTTCTCTCTGTGGTCCAGCTCACCCCAAAGAGCTGTCAATCATCAGCACTGATGCCCGTAGCTGCTCATGCTCAGTTGTTTGTTTTCACGGAGCCTCCGAATCAAACCTCCATCAGGCTCTGGAACTACATGAAAACTGAACAAAGAATTCTGAACATCCGCGCTGAGTTACCCATTTATATACTGAACCTATATCCATAATCATTTATATACTGAACCTATATCCATAATCATTTATACTGAACCTATATCCATAATCATTTATATACTGAACCTATATCCATAATCAGATCCGCATCACATGTGTCCTATAATGTTCACTTCATGATAATAGCTTCTTCCGGGTTTGCCGCGATCATTTTGTGTGCATTAAAAGAATTTTAACAAATAATTCTGAAAATGTATGTATAATGTATAATGTGTTCTCTCCTTAACATTTAAATGTGTTACGGAAACGTAGGTGTGGACCAATCAGAAAGGAAGGGGGAGGAGCTTGCGTCTGGTTTTTTTCATTTAATCAAGGACCTCTCTCTCTCTCTTTCTGACAAACTCCAGACAATCACTTTAATGTGGATCCAAATAAATAAATAAATACAATTAAGATTAATGAGGAACAATGTTGGAACATGGAGAAAAGAGGGATAATAACCAGAATCAGGTTTTGCCTTTTGCAGAAGACACTACATTAGAAAACAGGAGACACAGGGGGCACCAACACCACAAAGCACACACACACACAATGATTATTTTAGTCTTTAATCATTTTAAATAATAGGTTCTGTTTGTGTGCATAGCTAAAGTGCTCTTATTTCTCCTTCTATTCCGCTGTAATGTGCAACGATGACAATGAAATGTAACCACTGAGGGACACATAAAGGTCTCATCTCAAAATGTTGATCTTAAGTAGACTTTTAAAGGTTACAACAGTGGCACAAACCAAACGTTACTCTGGGTCTCTTCAGGGCGAGCCATCAAACACGTGAAAGAGTCGGTGTTCGTGGCGGAGGCCGGTGCCCGGAGGGGAGTTCCAAAGGTCCTGGTGGTACTGACGGACGGGCGCTCCCAGGACGACGTCAACAAAGTCTCCAAAGAGATGCAGCTGGAAGGTACTTTACGTCTGCTGTTTATGGGAACGTGGTCTGCATCCGGTTTTTACTTGTAGTTATTCCAATTCATTTGCTATATAATATACATCTGTAACAAAATTAAAATCAATTTACTGTCATGAGATGAAGGGAATGAAGAACCAAAAATGCGGGAATGCAAAAATGATGATATAATGAAAATAATAAAATTCAAACAAGTCCAAACAAAAAATCGAAACGTAACTCAGAAAACAGGAAAACAGACGGACAAAGACAATGGAAACTAACTAAAAATGAAACCACAGAACTAATGTCAAAATAAAAACCAATTACAACAATAAAATCCACACAATGACATTTACCTGAAAGGGATCCATTTACACATTTACACTTTCACGACATTGGAAAAGGGAACACTTGCTTTACTGCTGCATACAACCTTCGCTAGTGCCATTTACTCTAGATGTTTTGTTGCAAGACTTATCTAGAGACGTATATTGTTTTTTTTAGTTTATTTAACCTTTATTTAAACCCCATTGAGATTAAAAACCTCTTTTTCAAGGGAGTCCTGGCCTGTATTGTGACAGACGTAGTGAGTGCGGTCCTCTCTTTTTCACTTTTTTGTCTGAATGAGCTGACACACAAGGCGAAAATACATGCTTGTGAACACTAGCACTAGAGAGAGCCAGGAGCTTGTAGGAAGCATGCATTCTTTCGAATTGTTCGATTGTGGTGTAAAAGTTAGGTCCCGCAGCTTTAACCTAGATACAGCATGTATTGGGCTAGGGGCTGGTGCTAAGTGCACTGGGTGCAGCTCTGACTGCCACCCCCCCGACCCAGAAATGGATTAAGGGGAAGAAAATGGATGTATGGATGGACAGTATGTATTGAAGAATATATATTGGGATTTTTGTATACAGCCCAGTAATAGCCTTTCCATGTTCCATATTGAATGGTTGATCTGCCTGATTCTACCTGATTCTTCTTCTTTTCACTTGTGTGTGAAACCTTCAGGATACATCATCTTCGCCATCGGCTTCGCGGACGCGGACTACGGCGAGTTGGTAAACATCGCCAGCAAACCCAGCGACCGACACGTGTTCTTCGTGGACGACCTGGACGCTGTCAAGAAGATCGAGGAGCAGCTCATCACGTTTGTGTGTGAAGCTGCCACTGCCAGTGAGTCAGAGTGAGAGATCTGTCTCTGTCAGAGCTGCCACTGAGTTAGAGTGAGAGATCTGTCTCTGTCAGAGCTGCCAGTGAGACAGAGTGAGAGATCTGTCTCTGTCAGAGCTGCCAGTGAGACAGAGTGAGAGATCTGTCTCTGTCAGAGCTGCCACTGAGTTAGAGTGAGAGATCTGTCTCTGTCAGAGCTGCCACTGAGTCAGAGTGAGAGATCTGCCTCTGTCAGAGCTGCCACTGCCAGTGAGTCAGAGTGAGAGATCTGCCTCTGTCAGAGCTGACACTGAGTCAGAGTGAGAGATCTGTCTCTGTCAGAGCTGCCAGTGAGTCAGAGTGAGAGATCTGCCTCTGTCAGAGCTGCCACTGCCAGTGAGTCAGAGTGAGAGATCTGCCTCTGTCAGAGCTGACACTGAGTCAGAGTGAGAGATCTGTCTCTGTCAGAGCTGCCAGTGAGTCAGAGTGAGAGATCTGTCTCTGTCAGAGCTGCCAGTGAGACAGAGTGAGAGATCTGTCTCTGTCAGAGCTGCCAGTGAGACAGAGTGAGAGATCTGTCTCTGTCAGAGCTGCCACTGAGTCAGAGTGAGAGATCTGTCTCTGTCAGAGCTGCCACTGAGTCAGAGTGAGAGATCTGCCTCTGTCAGAGCTGCCACTGCCAGTGAGTCAGAGTGAGAGATCTGCCTCTGTCAGAGCTGCCACTGCCAGTGAGTCAGAGTGAGAGATCTGCCTCTGTCAGAGCTGACACTGAGTCAGAGTGAGAGATCTGTCTCTGTCAGAGCTGCCAGTGAGACAGAGTGAGAGATCTGTCTCTGTCAGAGCTGCCAGTGAGTCAGAGTGAGAGATCTGTCTCTGTCAGAGCTGCCACTGAGTCAGAGTGAGATATCTGTCTCTGTCAGAGCTGCCAGTGAGACAGAGTGAGAGATCTGTCTCTGTCAGAGCTGCCACTGAGTTAGAGTGAGAGATCTGTCTCTGTCAGAGCTGCCACTGCCAGTGAGTCAGAGTGAGAGATCTGTCTCTGTCAGAGCTGCCACTGCCACTGAGACAGAGTGAGAGATCTGTCTCTGTCAGAGCTGCCACTGAGTCAGAGTGAGAGATCTGTCTCTGTCAGAGCTGCCACTGCCACTGAGACAGAGTGAGAGATCTGTCTCTGTCAGAGCTGCCACTGAGTCAGAGTGAGAGATCTGTCTCTGTCAGAGCTGCCACTGCCACTGAGACAGAGTGAGAGATCTGTCTCTGTCAGAGCTGCCACTGAGACAGAGTGAGAGATCTTCCACAGTTGTCGCAGTTGCAGGGTTTTGTTGTGATTAACAAAAAACTATAAACAGGACACAAAAAACTGTGTACACTGCAAAAAACAGTTTGCAGAGGTGTTGCATTCATACAGCACACAGATCGCACATGCACACACGCACACACACACACACACTCATGCACATGCACGGCTTTGTGCACTGGGGCTGGGGTGGGGAATATAGCAAACAAGACAATTGTTACAATTGTCACAATTTTATGGAGAGCTCTGCTGCACTCTTCACTCATGAACATTCCAAAGGTCTATGGTTGTGCAGGCGTCCCATCATCAAGCCATGAAACAGACAATGGGACAGCGGGTGAATAGCAATGAACAGACTACAGCTGAAGTCATAATGATGACAAATAAAGGAGAGGATTGAAGTTGCTGGCTCCTAATATTCAAGACAAGGGAGAAAAAATGCACTGTTCCCTGCCACAAAATTCACATAAATCAAAACATAAACAACGTCACAAAAGATCCTGCAATGACAAAAACGTCAAACTCCAAATCATTTCAATTCAATGTATTTTTGTATCGCCCTAAATCACAACAGTAGTTTTCTCAGGGGACTTTACAAAGCTGTTGATTCGCCAACACAGATATTGACATATCTTTATTACGAGGAATAGCCTCTTGAGATGCATCATCTCGTTTTCAGGAGGGTCCTCAAAGATCCAAGGATCCAAACACATACAGCCATTGGTCCATAAGAGGCAGAGACCAATGTCCGTAAATGTTAAATAAAGTCCATAAATGTCATTGTTTGTCAAGTTTCCTGGATCATCTCTGCCCTTAGACCCTCCTACGTCTCCAAAGTCATGACTTCTCTTTCTTCTTTGCAGCTTGTCCGTCTGTGTTGATGAGCGGGAACACATTGGCAGGTTAGAGCAGAGGATTAGTGTCTTTCGAGCGTTGTTTTCTTCTTGTTTGTAATAGAATCTGCTTGTTCTGCTGGTGTAGGCTTCCGCATGATGGACAAGTTCAGTTTGGTGGAGAAAGAGTACAGCACGATCCCCGGAGTTTCTCTGGAGCCAGGATCCTTCAACAGTTTCCCGTGTTACCACCTTCACCCAGACGCACTGGTGTCGCAGCCCACCAGGTGAGCAGGGGTCCAACATGTTATTTGTATAGCACAGTTCATACACAAGGCAACTCAAAGTGCTGAAAACAACTAGAAACAATCACACAAGGTATTTAAAATCCTAAATAATCACAGTGCATTAAGAAGAGAATAATCCTTCAGTTGTCTGCAGCTAAACAGAGCAGGATTTGAACATTGTCAGAGAAGAAGCCTGTCTCACATTTTCAGGAAGACTGTTCCAGATTTTAGCGGCATAACTCTGGAATGTTACCTCCCCATGTTTAGTCCTGACTGTGGACACCAGCAGGAGGCCAGTCCCTGTGCTCCTCAGAGTCCCAGCAGGAAGTCAGTCCCTGTGCTCCTCAGTCCCTGTGCTCCTCAGTCCCAGCAGGAGGCCAGTCCCTGTGCTCCTCAGAGTCCCAGGAAGTGGCCAGTCCCTGTGCTCCTCAGAGTCCCAGCAGGAAGCCAGTCCCTGTGCTCCTCAGAGTCCCAGCAGGAGGCCAGTCCCTGTGCTCCTCAGAGTCCCAGGAAGTGGCCAGTCCCTGTGCTCCTCAGTCCCAGCAGGAGGCCAGTCCCTGTGCTCCTCAGAGGTCCACTTGGTTCATATGACACATGTCACAGATGTTCTTTGGTGCGAGGCCATGGCTGTTGCTTTGTGCCACAAGGGTTAAAGTATATTCTCTGAGTCTCAGGAAGTGTGGCTCTTGAAAGTAAATGAACAGTGATGGTAATCAGAGCTTCGTTGCAGGTGCCACATATTTCAAAGCTAATTTTCTTTTACTTATGGAAAGCCATGAGAGATCCTGTTTCCCAGAGCTCATATGGGGTTGCATTCAACATGTAGGAAGGTGCTGTTATCAGATGAGACCATTATTTAACTTTTAGCCCAAATGCAAAATGTCATGTGTGACACAAAACTAGCACTGCTGATCTCCCTCTTTGCCCCAACCCCAGTATCAAACAATGGGGTGGCAGCATCATGTTGTAGAGCTGCTTCTCTTCAGCAGGGACAAGGAAGCTTGTGCAAATTGATGAGATAACGGAAAGGTTATTTTGGATTACAAATTTCTGGAGTCAGCAAAAGACTATTGAAGAGAAGGAGAGATTAACCTTCCATCGGGACAGGGACTTAACATAAAGCTTTGCATTATGGTGTGGATGGGGCTAAATACCAGGTCTGTTGGGAATAGGGTTATTTCAGAATAAGTGAAGAATGCAGTTCTGAAATGAAAATAAAGGATAACTTTAAGATCTCCCGTCATAAAGATTGAAACTCTACAGCAGGCCTTTTCAACTTGCACCCGGAGGCTAAATCTGGCCCTGTGAACTGTGAGCCCCAAGTATGTTTTATGTTGATTCAAGTATTTGTAAAAGGGACAAAGCAAAACATTGTCATTTCAAGCTTACTGGCAATTTTTATCTCATTTGTAAATTTCTATTGTTTTAAAAAACAGTTTGAAAATGCACTTAATTCAAGATGAATTCAACAGTTCAACTGTAATTTTGTATTCAACTTTGTATCAAACATATTTTGTCAGCTCTGGCTAACTCCTGGTGAACAGTCTCTGGTTGCCTTTCACAGTCTCTGGTTGGTTTTCTTCAGGTTCCTCCATCCTGAAGGTCTGCCCTCTGACTACACCATCTCTGTGATGCTGCGGCTGCTGCCTGAGACGCCACATGAGCCCTTTGCATTGTGGGAAATCCTGGACAGAGACAACGAGCCGCTGGTCGGCGTCATTCTGGACAGTGAGTAGTAGTAATGTAGTTTTTCTGCAAATGGTAATACACTGATTCTGAGTGTCTTTAAGTACAGTCCATGAGTCATGAGCTGTTTTATATCATCCGACATCTGTTCTGTCGTACAGGATGATACTGTCCAATCATCCTTGGTCTTACTAAATCCTTACATGTGCTACGATAGGGCTGGGATTTGGAAAAAATGTGACAATTCGATTGGGCCACAATTCAACATTATTGCGATCTTAACATTATTGCAATAGAGTAAGTATTCTGATTTGATCCTGCAACATAGTGATTCATGTTCCCCACATTATTCAAAGGCATCACAAATTACACAGGACATCATTACGGACAAGACATAATTATTCTCTAAAAGACGACTCTCACATTAATGATGAGCGCCCTGTCGCGTGGCGAAGTGAATGAGGAAGGACCCAAATGCAGGAATGCCAAAAAATAATTATTTAATGATAACAAAATAAAAGTCCGGGTTAAAACTCAAAAATCCAAAAGGCACAAGCAGCAACGAAACAGGAACAGACATTGACAAGACAACGGACCAGCAACAAGGGGAGAGGAGCACAGGGTGAAACACATCAGGGCGGGGCAGACCATCAAGACAGGGGAAAACAGGACAGGAAGTCAAACTAAAACTAATTCACAGATAAGACGTCAAAATAAAACAAAAATACAAAAATAAAATCCACACCATAACACTCCCAGCACTTTATTGCATATAGCAGTGTCTCCCAAAGTGGGGTCCGCGGCCCCCTGGTGGGCCGCGAGGGTACTGCAGGGGGGCCGCGGGAAGTCATTAAAAAATATATATAATTATTTAATGTTAAATTTATAATGTTTTGTTTGTAATATTAAAATATTTGTGTTCATTATTTGACTTGAGTAATCCACTGTAATCATTGTTGTATTACAATGTTTGTAGCAGAGGCTATTTCCCCAAAATAAAATAACCAGAAGAGCCTATTCTTAATGTTGTCTTCTTGGTTTTTATTTTGGGGGGCCACGCAGACCCGTCAGATTTTTAAGGAGGCCTCGGTGTTACTGAGTTTGGGAATGGCTGACATATAGTATTCACATACAACAGACAAGAGTCACTCTGGTTTTTAAACATCGCTGGCCTGTTACGAGAGACTTTAGCAAGAAAGAAGACAAATGAAAACAAATGCAAAAAGAAAATGCATCATTACAGTGAACATACTATGCACAATATTAAGTTTAATAAACTGGACACAAACTTCTAAAGAATAAAATGTGAACAAATCTGACCACACCACGTCGTCTTCCTCTCATTAAAAAACATTTTATCTTTGTGTAAAGACGCTCCCTGTGAGTCACGATATGACTCTTTGGGCTGAGAGCTGATTGGCTGAGTGAGGGCGGTCCTCTCTTTTTAACTGTTCTGTCCAAAAAAGCTGATCTTACGTCGAAACGGAAATGTAGAAACTAGTGATAGAAGCAAAGTTAGGTCTTGAGCTAAAAATTCAAATCTAAATAAAAGTCAGTGTTGCAACTTCACCCAACCACCATTAAAACAGGTTATATATTATTATTTTTTTTATTTTTTTTTATTTTTCATTGTTAGGGTTAGGGTTAAGGTCATTGTGTGTTTTGTTCATTTTGCCTAATCTTGAACAGGAAGAAAATCTCTGTACATCTAAGTAGTATCTCCTCAAACCTGGCCATACATTTAGAACAAAAAACTAGATCCATCTTTGAGAAACATTAAACGTTTTTTTCTCGTTGCTTTGACGGGTTTGAGTTTTCACCTTTAGCTGAAGCTTTGTGGATGTGACACTGTCTTTGCTCTTCTCAGTTTCTTTTGCTTCATAATTACATGTTGTTTTCCAGACGACGGAAAAACTGTGACTTTCTTCAACCACGACTACAAAGGAGACTTCCAGACCGTCACGTTTCAAGGAGCAGGAGTGAAGACACTTTTCCACGGCAGTTTTCACAAGGTGCGTCTCACTGAACACTGAACCCACGGCTGTTTTATCTTTTGTCTGAATGACTGGAGAAGAGAGCGTTCTCTGCTAACGACGTGGAAAAAGAGGAAAGTCATTTTGCTGATTTTGCAAACGTCATTTAAAGCTGCAAAAATGAAAAATTAGATTATTTTAAAGTAGCACAGTCTCTGAATACTAATGAAATGGAAACTTGTGTTGTTTGAAATGCTAACAATGCTAAAGCTAAAAGTGGCTAATATTCCATGTGGTTATTCTAACAGAAAGAAAAGGGTTTTTTAAAAGTAAAATGTTGTGAAAGAATTAGACCACACCTTGCTGTCTTCATCTTATTAGAATGTTTGGCATGGCAAGTTTATTTGTATAGCACATTTCATACACAAGGCTTTAAAATCTAAAATAATCACAGTTCCTTAAAAAGAGTGAAGATACAATCCCTCAGTTGTATGCAGCTAAACAGAGCTGTTTTTAATCTGGTTTTGAACATTGTCAGAAAAGAAGCCTGTCCCACATTTTCGGGAAGACTGTTCCAGGTTTGACTCTGGGCACCAGCAGGAGGCCAGTCCCTGTGCTCCTCAGAGTCTGAGTTGGTTCATATGGCACTAACATGTCATGGAGAGACTTGTACACATGGATCTATAATAATAACTGGATAGGGTATTACTAGCTTACAGCTGTCCCACCCATGGGCACAGGGGGCGCCCATGGTAAAGACTAAATTCACGTGGGCTACCCAGAAAAAAGTCCAATAGAACTCAATGTAATTTAAAACAGCACGACCTCAGCTGATAGAGAACCTACTGCTTTCATAAAGATCGGATTTTGAGGGGATTTTAGTGTCCCTTGTCATCCTGAAATTTGTTTCTTCTTAAATCCTTCGGTTTTCTTTAAATCCACACTTTACTGCCACAAACTCTGCTCCTTTCCTTCCCGCTCTGGCTCAGCTCTTCCGCTGCTCTGATCAGCAGCTCTGATTGGTCAGAGCGCGGCCGAGCCCCTCTGTGCGTGTGCATGAAAGCCACACACGCGTATTTGGCGCAACGCATCATGGGAGATAATCCACTGCACAGAACCGGGAGGACCAGACGATGCCCAAATACAGGCGAGTTCTGTTAATCTCCCGGTCCTGTGAAGTCTCATGCGCTACTGAGCACAAGCCGTTCATTTGAATAGGGCGCCATCTTGGATCACCGGAGCTTGCTTGTACACGAGCAGAGCTGCTTTAGGACTATAGCACTGAACTGTCACAAGGTTTTCACTAAAACAAGTTTGATAAATTACAAATCCAAATCTAAAATTCAAATATTTGCTGACGTCGTTCAAATGCAGGTTAAAAACAGTTTAGCTGCAACAACTGGAGGATTGTATCTCCACTCTTTCTAATGTATTCATTGCAAAAAGTGATGAATAATGAGTCAATAATGGCTCCAATTTGGCAAAATATATCTTAATTTGAGTTCATTTTGACTGCTTTAAAACAAGATTTGCCAATGGGACACTGAGCAAAATGATCTTGTTGTAAAAGGACACAAGAAATGTCTCCCCTGGAATGAGAAAAAAAAGCAGTTGAATTAAGACTAAATGGCTTTTTCCCTTTGGAGAATCTTGTTTATTAAGATTAAAGCAACTATTATCTCATATATTTTCATTTTGTGTAGTGCCGTGATTATTATTGATTGTAATGTCCTTGTGTGATTCTTTAGTTAAGCACTTTGAGTTTCCTTGTGTATGAACTGTGCTACACAACAAACTCGCAGTAAATGTGAATGTGAGAGTTCAGGCAGAAACAGGAGTCAGCAGAACACTGAGCACACACCGCCTTAGAGCTGCTACAGAGGATAGAGCTGACTCAAACAGGCTCCGTCAGGATTAGAGCTAACTAACAATCAAACAATCAATCATAGGAAAAGCCCTGTTCCAGCTTCTTCCCTCTGGCAGAAGATATAGATAGATCTTGTTTGTTTATACATTGTTTTATTGACGCACTTGTCTGCTGCACATTTGCACATGTATTTCAACGTGGTTTTACTGCAAATGGCAAAAAAAACGGAATTGAGTCCAGTTGAACAGGAACATAGAACCAATTGTACGCACATTTGTAGGTAGCACCCACCTAGCAACCAAGAGCCAATCAAGAGCAGCACTGGTCTGTTCCCCGCTTTGCCTACTTACTAACTTAGGGGCCTCCAACCTATAGCTCAGGAACTACCAGTAGCTCACCAGCCCCTTCAAAAGTAGCTCCCAAACTATGGTAAATATTTCACTTCATGGTGTATAAAAAAAGATTGTTTGGAGATTGATTACAGTTAGATTATTAAAATGCATTCCAAGGCATTATTACCATTTTGAAAAATAAATAAAATTCAGGACCAATTCATTTTCGTCCTGATAAAGTAGCCCTCCGTTGGTAAAAGGCAAGCCCCGGCGATCCAAGATGGCGCCCTATTCAAATGAACGGTTGTGCTCAGTGGCGCTTTGTGACGGCATGGGGGCTGAAAGATTAGCGGAAGTCGCCTGAAACTCTCAAAGATCTATGGGAAACTCGCCTGTATTTGGGCATCGTCTGGTCCTCCCGGTTCTGCGCAGTGGATGATCTCCCATAATGCGTTGCACCAAACACGCGTGTGTGGGTCTCACACCGGGTCTCACGCACGTGCGCAGAGGGGCTCGGCCGCGCTCTGACCAATCAGAGCAGTTCATCAGAGCGGGAGTTAGAGCGAGAGCCAGACGAGCAGAGTTTGTGGCACTAAAGTGTGGATTTGAACAAAACCGAAGGATTGAAGAAGAAAAAAAGTTCAGGATGACAAGGGACACTAAAATCCCCACAAAATACTATCTTTATTAAAGCTGTAGGTTCTCTGTCAGCTGAGGTCGAGCTGTTTTAATATGCATTGAGTTCTATGGGGAAAATGTCTGGGTAGCCCACGTGAATTTAGTCTGGTTCAGTCTGCAGTACCGCGAGAATCCCCCGAGCACATGAGTTATTCAGCTACAAGCTAGTAATACCCTATCCAGTTAATATAATACATCCATGATTGGACTTCATTGAGCCAGTGGGTTAGCATTGTCTATGTTAGCATTGTCCATCTGTATACAGTCTATGTTAGCATTGTCCATCTGTATACAGTCTGTGTTAGCATTGTCCATCTGTATACACTCCATGATCGGTCACATGTATCATCTCAGGCCGCCTTCAAACCCCTCATATATAAATCCTCTCAGTCTGTGATGTCCTTCTCTGCCCTGCGTCCTCCCTTCAGCCTCCTCTTCCTCCCTTCAGCCTCCTCTTCCTCTTATCAGATCCGTCAAACTGTGATGAATGGAGCTGTCTCAACACGTCTGTTTGAGATTATCCTCCAAAGTATAAAAACATGAATAATTCCATAGGCTTTTGTCGTCTGCTTTGTTTTGACATTTCGTTTTTGCAGATAACTCGAGGCAGATATCACACCGCTGCTGTTGCCAAAACTGTCCTCCCCTCACCCCTCCCCCCGTCTTTGAAAATATGACTAAACCCATTGTAATCTAAACTGATGTTTGTCTTTGAACGAATTAAAAGGGGAAAATGTAAACAGAAAAATGAAGTTATCTGTGTCGACTTGGATGCGACTTGACGAGAGAGGAGGAGACATAGTGCACCAGCGCCGCAAAATAATACTATTGTTTTGATACGTTTTGTTGATGGACGTTGGTTATTTGATTTGCTTTGAAATGTTTCTGACGTCTTCAATCAAAATAAGAACTTTTTGCCAACGTGATGACAAAATTTAAACTTGTTTTACACATGAAATGTACATGTATGTTAAAGTTTCTTGTAGACTGAGGCTGTAGATCCAGGACTGAGGCTGTAGATCCAGGACTGAGGCTGTAGATCCAGGACTGAGGCTGTAGATCCAGGACTAAGGTTGTAGATCCAGGACTGAGGCTGTAGATCCAGGACTAAGGTTGTAGATCCAGGACTGAGGCTGTAGATCCAGGACTAAGACTGTAGATCCAGGACTGAGGCTGTAGATCCAGGACTAAGGTTGTAGATCCAGGACTAAGGTTGTAGATCCAGGACTGAGGCTGTAGATCCAGGACTAAGGTTGTAGATCCAGGACTGAGGCTGTAGATCCAGGACAAAGGTTGTAGATCCAAGGCTGAGGCTGCAGATCCAGGACTGAGACCATGGTCCAGGACTGAGGCTGTAGCTTAATCTAGGACAGAGGCTTGTAACATACTTGTGCAGACTTACATTTGAATTAATTCATAATAGCAGCATGAAGAAGGTCAGAAATGTCATGAGAGGTTTTTCTTATCTCTCTGTGTCACTGTGAACCTGTTTCATTATCATTTCACATTCTCTCCTCCAGCTCCACGTGATTGTGAGTAAGACCTCGGTGAAGCTGGTCCTGGACTGCTCTCTGGTCGGTGAGAATGCAGTGGCCGCGGCCGGAAACATCAGCAGCGACGGCGTGGAGGTCCTGGGGAGACTTATGCGATCCCGAAGGGGAGGAGACCGCTCTGCTCCGGTCAGTGGAACTATCAACAACACAAAACCACACTTATCAAAACTGGATGTTGTATTGTCCATCTATACACAATATATGTTAGCATTGTCTATCTATCATGTACTGGTCCTGGACTGGTTCAGAGCCATCTCAGCTCAGAGCATGTGATAGTTACCATAGCAACACAGTTTACTTGCAGCAGTTAGCAAGTAGTTCAGCTGTTTTCGATAGATACCCGATAGCTACAAATAAAAAGCAATTATATAATTAAAGAACAATTTTATATACATACATTTAATAAAATCTGTGTAAAATCAGATACTTTTGGGGAGATTTTTCCAGAATTCCATTGACTTTTATTGGAGCTGTCAAAAGTACTGCTCTGGGAGTTTTAGTAGTTTCAGATAATTCAGCGCCTTCATCGTATTAGAAAACTTGATAATTTTTGCATTCTGGGAGTTGATTGGCTGACTGAGGGAAAAAGCTGATCTCATGGTGTGACAGAGACCAAATATACATGCATGTAAAAACTAGTAACAGGAACTAATGAATTGGACTTATAGTACAATTTCATTTGTCATTTCAGATTTTGCTACTGAAACTTTAACATGGGTAGCAGACAGAGGCATTGTTTTCAAATTGATTTAAACTTTATTGTCTCATCAAAACAATAATGATGTAATATAATTGTTTTTGTGTCTCTGTTGGAACATCTGATAAGTTCAGTCTGAACTTTTCAGCTGTTATGAAGATTTATGGATTAAAGCTAAAGCACATTTATTGTTGATACGCAGCTGTTTTCTATCAGTCAGTGTCCATAAGCAGAGAAATCTCCATTTAACCACAATGATGGAATAACAGCTGTAATGTAATCAAATGTTAGATCTGAGGCACACACAGCCTATGTTAGAGTGGTTCAAAACATCATTTCAATCTTCATTAGTAAAGCACATTTAAATCAACCTAGGCTTACCAAAAACACAAGAATAAAAACACATTTATATATTTATATACTGTTACAAAAAAAGAACCAAAACTCCCTATGACAACTCTCTTGTCATAGGGATTTCTGCAAACGTTTTTAACTCTGTAACAGTGTGAAACCAGCTCAATGGTGATGATATAATAATAACTATAATAATAACTAATCCAAGCTCTAAACCGAGCTCTTAGAATGATCAATGACTCTTCTGGCCACCCTGGAAAAGCCTTGTTCCAGCTTCTTCCTTCTTCCTTCCTGGCAGAAGAAATCGTTCTCTGAGATGAAGGACATCTCGATATGCTAAAAGCTTCTTCCCTTCCCTGTCATAAGTTTGAACAGAGCACTTTAATGATCTTGCACTTTGTATTGAAATTGTTTTAGCCGATCGTTTTCACAGTGACAATTGTTTTACTGTTTAATTTGTTTGTTTTTTTCTGTACTTTTAATGTTGTTTTATGTCTGTACTTGTGCACACTGGGGACTTTTGCTAATGAATTCCAAAGTGGTTTTACTGCAAATGGCAAATAAAATGAATCTGAATCTGAAGTAGTTACAAATGACCAAAATGCAAGATATTGTTATAACACAGTAAGTAATGCGTAAAGAGAATGTAACAGGCTAGGAATCAGAAGTATTGTTTTGGCTCGAGGAGGGAGTGGCAGGACACTGAAAGATTTGGTTTGGTATCATGTATTAACAAAATATATAATTGAAATAGAATAAATTGACATTCACACATATAGACAAGATCAATGAATGGCCATGCAGTCAACACATGTTTCAATTCAATACACAAGTTGACAACCAAAAAATGGTCAGGGGTTTCTCAACTGATTTAGACTAATGTTGGTGTTCTGAGTCCGAATATCACATGCATTTTGCTCTATCAGGTCAACTTTATGAGATACAGCCATAGTGTTATGGATTACGTACGTCTACGTTATTATGAATTCTGCTTATCAAATTTGATGGAGTAAATAAAAACTGAATGACTTTGGATACGTTGACTTTTATTTCTTGAGCAAAACGGAAAAAACGTCAAGGGTTTCTCAGCTGATGATCCGCAGAAATTAGTTTTTTACGTAAAATCAATTAAAAAAAATATTTCTGTAGCAAAAAATCCTGACCTGATTGAACAAAACCAAGGTCATGTTCGGACTCGGAGCATCAAAATTAGTCTAATTCAGCTGGAAAACCCTGGACTATTTTCAAAAAATATTTTTTTGTTACCCAGTGTAATTATTTGGCAAAAAAATATTTACAATGTACAGCGTAGAGTTCACATATCAATCACACGCAAACAAAAGTAAACGACCATTAACTGGACAGTGTTCAAAGTCCAGCAACAATTATTAAAGAAAGAAAAGTTACCTGTTTAGCTTCGATGCCGTCTGTAAACTCTAACACTATGGAGAGTCTCTACTTTTAATATTCTGGACATTCTCTGCTTCCTGAGGAAACTTTGGGAAATTATGGCTGCACTATTGAAAGTTTACTTGTTGGTTCTGTGACTCTGGTTTGGCAACATCACAGTCAAAGAAAGGAGAGCTCTAAGAGAGAGACCAGAGAGAGACCAGAGAGAGACCAGAGAGAGACCAGAGAGAGACCAGAGAGAGACCAGAGAGAGAGACCAGAGAGAGACCAGAGAGAGACCAGAGAGAGACCAGAGAGAGACCAGAGAGAGACCAGAGAGAGACCAGAGAGAGACCAGAGAGAGACCAGAGAGACGAGAGAGAGACGAGAGAGAGGCGAGAGAGAGACCAGAGAGAGACCAGAGAGAGACCAGAGAGAGACCAGAGAGAGACCAGAGAGAGACCAGAGAGAGACCAGAGAGAGACCAGAGAGACGAGAGAGAGGCGAGAGAGAGACCAGAGAGAGACCAGAGAGAGACTAGAGTGGCACCAGAGAGAGATACACTTTTAAGTCTTTCATCTTTTCTGCCTCCAGTCCAGCCTCATCTACTCCTGTTGTGTAAGCCGCAAAAGTGTTTATTGTTTTACTCTCACAAAACAATCAAATCTATCAAAAACACTCCAGGTGATGATTGCAAAAATCTACTATCGCAAAAACTATTATTGTGACATTGTTGGATGAGAACCATGGGGAAACAGCTGCTTGAGCTTACCCCAGACATGTATTTATCCATCTTAAAGTGAGGGGAAAGTCAGTGCACAGTTAATCATCACATTTAACAGATTTGTGTGTCTCTGTCAACAGCTGTGGCTTTTGTTCGAGCAGTAAACTTACTTCTAATTTAGAGGCAGAAAATAGCTTGGTCCATGATGTCATAGTCTCAGGATTTAAGTGGAATACGTTTGAAGACAGAGCGTTTACACAAGAGGCAGGGAGACACATGAGTTCCCAATAATAGCGTGGATGGAGCAAAAAAACATCTCCAGGTCTGTTTTGGATGAGAAACAGTGTTGTATCATGGACTGTGTTTGTGTGGACATAGATTACTGACCACTCTGGCCCCGGTCTACATGCGCTCGCTCAGCAGAAGGAGCTTTGTGATGCTTTCAATGGCGTCTCGTAACTTTGCCTCACACTTTGGAACAGTAATCATAAATATAATGTCTCTTATATATACTATATAATAACGGCTTATTAACCAAGCTCGAGGTCTGTATGGGGAAATATCAGACCGCGGCCTTAATGAGCCGTGGCGAGGTCTGTGCAAAAAGGCCAAGGTCTGATATTTCTCTGTACAAACCGAGCAAGCGAGGTTAGTAAATGTTTTATTATATGACTTTTTTTAATTTATGCAAATATCGATCTCCGACTTGGTTTTCCTAATCGTGTTTTTAGCTTTCTGGTTTGCAACGAAATTGCCAATCTCATCTTGTCTGTTAGTTAGTTATTTTTTCTTCGTTATTTTCTGTCATTTCTTCCTCTGGCTCGTCAAACTCGTCCGGATAATAAAATTCACTGGAGAATGCTCCCAGTTGTCGCCCATTATTTCTTTTTTACCGAGGAAGCTCAGGAAAGAAATCAATTGTGATACGCGCTGTTCGGACCAATTGTCATGGTAACGGTCTGAGATGGGAAAATATCAGACCGTTAATCAGCCAATCAGAGCGCGCGTACGGTCCAAGTCACATAATAATGTACCTTATGTAACAAAAACAAAACAATAATTAAAATGAGGGAGTCGTCTATCTGAGTCCAATTTTTACTTTATTTAAAACCAGCTGGCTTTTCACTGTGCTCTTAAATGCATCTACTGGCCTTGTCTTAGTAGTCATTAACCCTTTAATGGTTTCCTCGCCCATTTGGATCTACTTGAAGCTTGGATCTGAAATCTACCTCTTTGGGGCATCTCACTTAGTTTGAGGCACTAAAACAGCGGCACGGTGGCTGAGTGGATAGCACTCTCGCCTCTCAGCAAGAAGGTCCTGGGTTCGAATCCTGGCCGGACCAGGGCCTTTCTGAGTGGAGTTTGCATGTTCTCCCCGTGTCTGCGTAGGTTTCCTCCGGGTACTCCGGTTTCCCCTACCACTAAAAACATGCACAATAGGTCTGGCATGCGCCTCCTGTATACTGGCGACCCCGCTTCCATCTCTGTGTGGGGTGAGTGGACCAATGCCCAAAAATAATAACAATTGTAAACCGCTTTGTGACTCTGGTCTGTGAAAGGCGGTATATAAATAAAGATTACTTACTTACTTACTTACTTACTTTTAACAACAAACTTTCGGGACCAGATCGTGACCAATCACAGCGGACCACTGGCCCCCACTTACTTGAGAAAAGCTACAGGTCTCTCGTTAACAAGCGGCGGAGCTAACCTGAAGCTTCCCGTGTCTTCGTTACCGGTTACTGCTAACACAGCGAAAGAACCGTCCAAAAGAAAGTCTCGTCCTCTCCGCGCTTCCCGGTTCTATCATTCTATGGTCACGCCAACCACGTTCAAATGTGCGATCCATATTGTTAGGCGTGAGCTCCGTATACATTTAGCACATGAGCACAGGCTGAGGGGGAGGGGAGTAGTGTGGGGCGATAGCTTCGTGAGTGCAATCAAACTGTTTGATTCTCTGTTGTTGAGGAAATCCTTTGAGACGACTGTTGTGGTTTAGGGCTCTACACAAATACTTTGAATAGTTTTGTCATGATTTAAGTTTATTTTGTAAATTGTTAATCCCGGTGTCTTTACTGTATTTCCTGTTTATGTATTTAAACCCTGTGTTGTCTATAACTCATTGGTCTGTTTTAGTTTTTGATCCCTGTTTGGTTACTTTTTGGGTTTTTTCCTTGGACTTTGGTTTATTTGTCATTAAAACCTCATTTTTTTGTGCATGTCCTTGCTTTATCTCACCCCACGTGACCAGTTCAGTTTCCATGGTATGAACCAGTTTTCTCGCGTTATGCTAAATCGATCTAAATCAAACTCGGCAAGGGATCCAGACTTCTCTCCTTCCATGAAAACTCATATCACTCATGGTTCAAAATCTCCAAAAAGATAGTTTTGCAGAAGGTTTACAAAGGCAATCTCAAACTCATTTTTCATGCTTAAAACCTCAAAGATAGCAGGAGAGACCCTTCCACGATGAGGAAATGTCATTGTTATATCATACAGTACAGTAGGGATAAAAGGAAGCATTCAGAACAACATAAACCGCTCAGAA